GGGGCGTACTGTTTGACCCCCCAGCCTGAGAGATGGAAAACTTGGCCAATTAGTGGGAGGGAAACACACCAGCCACTCGGTCTTATCCGGATTGATGGCTTCCGAAAGATGGCTCCTTCAGAAGGGGTCTCACCACCGCCGCCTTTAAAGCGGGGGGAAAGAACCCCTCCTGCATTCTCTGAAATTGTGCAGTTGTGCATTCTCTGAAAAGTTCAGTTCCACCACATTGACCATTGGCTTCCCTTCCACCGCGATACCCTTAGTCTCACTGTAAGAGTGTAGGAGGCTACAATGCTTCATCAAGCCTTTGATTTGCAAACCTCCAGGCAGATTTAATTTTATTTTTTCATTTCTTCTTCCCATCAGAAAATTTTAGTGATGCCAAATATGGATGATATCATCTTACCTCTGATGCATTCTGTTTTGGAATCCCAGCCTCTCATAGAAGGACCACAGGAAGAACTTCTAGCTGAGGATGTCAAAAACATGTGAGGTGCTGTCCTCTGGTGGTTGACCTGCTCTAGTCTCTTGAGGGAGCTAACCAGATACCTGGTCATAAGGGAACCTGTGCTTGAGAATAAAGGTTCTCCTCCACGTCTCCTTGCTGGCCTCTCTTCTCTCTGGAACTGTTTTCAGATGAAGGAGATTTGTCTGGATATGGCTTGTTGAAGAAGAAGATGCACCAGGTAGGTGACAAGCACAAAATGTGTGGCCGAGAAAGAAAAGGCAGCAGAGATGACAAGACCCCTGGCTACTTGGAATTCTCTCCACGTTGCATCTCTGCAAATAACTTTAGTTTTAAGTATCTATTAAATGGCAGAACCATCAATAACATTGAACAGGATCTTTGTGAAGGAAGAAATAAGAGTGAATGACCCCTTTAGCTAGTGCAAAAGGGATTTTGGCGGTGGGGGGTGAGGGAGATAGAAGCCAATTGGAGTTGGGGACTCCAAGACTCAAAACTGCTCAGCAATTTCCATTTCAGACTTAAAGAAGGAAAGATGCTTGACTAACAGTTTTGGAAAAAAAGGAACAAGTGATGTTTCCTACCACACAATCTGGACTATTCACAGCCTCTCCATTTCTTGGCTATTGACAACCTGAAAGCTGGGTACTGAAGCTTTGGTTCTGAACTTACTCTGACCCCAGTATAGGCTGAAGACTAAGAATACGGGGCAGGGGAACCACCAACATTCCTCAGTCTTGATCCAAAGGTCTCAAAAGAAACATGACCTAGTCTGAGTTTTAAAATGTGCTTCAGTTCAGAAACTCTTGGGACCAGGAAGAAGGTGAACACTGACAGGGAACCTCTTATCTGAGCATTAACTCAAAGAACCAACTGCTGCTGCCAGGCGACCAGAGACCTTTTCTACCTGAGTGCATGGATTCTTATCCCCATCCTCCCGGGGGCCCTCCCGGATTGCCTTCCAATCTACACCCACAGCCAACTGCAGGAGACTTGAAGCTGATCAGGAGAGGCCCAGGGCCACGGAGCAGCTCCGCCAGGCCTGCTGCCACGAGATCCTCTTATCCTCTTCACAATACAATGTTTCAAGAAAGCAATAGCAATGCACAAGCTGACATTAGTGAACGGGACACTTCTATAAGGGCTTTGCCAACCTGGGATAATACGTACATCTAATGGCTGCAAGAACAGGAGGGAAGGTGAAAGAAAATAAAGGCTCGAAACAGTCCTTGAAGTGGGTTTTCCCCCCTTTCCTGCGGCACTTGTTCCTAACTGCCCAGAATCACTGGGAGTTTGGCAGTGTATACATTTAATAAATTATTGTTACTCATGTGACAGAGAAATTAAACATTAAAGCATTCTGGCATGTATGGATTTGAATTTAGTCAATAAATAATGATTAAATAAGCCATAGCTAATTCACCCTAACGGTCATGCTGTTTCCAAAATTTTAAAAAATCCTCATGTTTCATAGGTAAAGACTGTTTACTTGAGATCTAGAGATTGGCATAAAAATTTCAAAAGATCTTTTGTTGTTCAAAGGCTTTAACTAGTTGACATTAGCAGTGGCATAAAACAGTTGCAGCAGAAAAAGCTATCCTGTTTTTGAGTTTCACACAAGTATGTATCCTGTGACAACTGATCCATTTGGGATGAAATTTAGGGTTTCTTTTTTAAGCTTTAAGCTTTAAACTCAAGCTAACTTAGAGACAGTATTTTTAAAGACAGAGATTTCAGAAATTGACAGAAAAAAATCAATCTTATATAATATGACAATCATTTTATTAGCACCAGCCAAAAGCACAAAAATATAAGCAAATATCTGGGTTGTCCAGAAATTGTCCATGGGTGGAATGGTCAAGAATTTCAAGATGACAACCACTTCAATCATGCTATCACAAGTGCCACTTTGATTTTTTTATCCTCCCTGTATAACCCTTATTATAAATATTGGGTTTTCTCTTTTTTCTTAAGACTGACAAAAACTATTCCTTTTCAAAAACAGAGACCATGTTTGCACTCATATTTGATATAGCCCCAGACATGAACAATTTAGTATCTCCTTCAAAGAAACCCATTTATAATTCCTCTGAAGTTTCTGGCTTCCCTTTCAGCAGGTGCTTCTTCTGAGGGCCCTGAAATCGAAGCAGAAAAAAAAGTGGTTGTTAACTTCTCAGACTGCTACAATTAAATGGGAAACTGTATGTCAAGGGCTCCTGATGGATTTCTGTGGAAAGGCTGCCTTACCGTGTTTCCCTGAAAATAAGACAGGGTCTTATTTTCTTTTGACCTCAAATAAACACTTGGTCTTATTTTTAGGGAGGTCTTATTATTTTTGAGGTGCAGGAAATGGCAAGTGTGGTCACCTCATGGCTGCTGCTGTGTTGCAATATTTTTTGGGGGGGAGGACTTATTTTAGCGCATGTGCACAAAAGCCTGTTTGGGCTTACTATCCAGGGAGGTCTTATTTTCAGAGCAACAGGGCACTGCTATATATTCCTTCACATGTTTTAGATTTGTCCTCTGGTTAGCTACAAGATTTGAGCTGCAACTTCACCTCTAAATGGCAGCAAATGTGTCATGTTGTCCAGATCTCTGATTCCCTTTGGGGTTGGTCTAACTTTTTGCAGTCCAGATGTTGCAGTTCTATTTCTTGGCCATCTTCATAGTCAGGTTGCAGTGAGGCCCCACCTAAATACTGCAAAACTGCCCTTGAAAGTCTAATTGTCAGGAGAAGTTCTAACTGGAGAAATGTCCTAACACTTAGAACAATGAATCAGTGGAACGACTTGCCTCCAGAAGTCGTGGGGGCTCCAATCCTGAAAGTTTTAAAAAAAGGATTGGAGAACCTATTTGTCTGATATGGTATCGTTTGAGCAGAGGGTCGGAGTAGGAGACCTCCATGGTCCCTTCCAACTGTTGTTCTGAATATCAGTTAATGTGATGGCTCTGACTGAGCAATGGAGGCATTTTAGTCTTCCAGATTGATACGAGAAGGAAAGTTCAACTATACAGTAATAGCTGATTCATTTTCCTATGACGTCATTCTGCATTTCCAGGAAGAAACAGTAGTTGGGCAGATTTTTCTCCATTTTAAAAAAGGAGATTACATTTCAGTTGGTTTTGTGATCTTTAAAGAATTTCGGCAGTAGCCTGAATCTTCCCCTGCTCAGTTTTTCTTGGGGACCCCAAGCATTAGCCACGGACGAAATGGAAAACATTTCTCCTTGTTTCATGTCCCAACTGTCTTATCATCATTTAAGGCTAAACTGCAGGATCTGTAAATGAAAATTAGAATTCTCATCAGAATTCAGAAGCCCTACCCCCTTTTCAGAAAAATTCTGCATGGTGGCCTACATTGGATTGTGACCAAAATGTCCAATACGGTGGAAGAGGGGAGCCTCCTCCAGAGGGGAAGAAAACAAAGACCATGGCTGAAGCCAGAGGGGGACTAGGTTGCCTCTCCATGTTCCCCCACACCTGCCATGTCCAATTGCTGAGAGGAAAAATCCTAGTTTGCAAAATTTAATGTATTTTCATATGCAATTCTCTTCTGTCTTCCATATGGCAAAAAAGAAACCCTCTGGCTCTCTCTCCTCTCCAGCACACCTGCTGGAAGGGGAAAAACTAAGCAACGGAAGTCCTCTTGGACCTTTGCAGGCTGCCCAAGCCCACAATGAAAAATGCAGCCTTGGCTTGGCTGGAGATTTTCTCCCAAGGCTGATCCCCACAGCGGCTAGGAGGGGCCTGGCTCTGCCGGACAGCCAATTGCAGCTGTGCCTATTGCTGTGCCTAAGAGCCAAGGTGGCGCAGTGGTTAAATGCAGCACTGCAGGCTACTGCTAGATCAGCAGGTCAGCGGTTCAAATCTCACCGGCTCAGGGNCCTATTGCATTAAACAATTAGTACAGCTTAAATGGTTAATTTCTATCCTTTTTCTATTGATAAGTATTTTAATAACACTTCGTGGACATAAAAGAGAGATGGGATAGAGGCTACACAAAAGAAAGGTTAGGCAGACATTTTCTTGAAAGTTAAGCCTGTCAAAATCAATGAATTTCCTAAATGAACATGTGGAGGAGTCTGCCACCGAATAGTGAGATTTATCTCATTAGTGTATAACATAAATAATATTTTATTAATAAACTAACATTTAATACAAAACAGCACTTCAATATAAAGTAGATTAATATATTTTGATCTAAGAATACTGAAAAAGATGCTGGGGTGGTGGTGGTGAGGGGATATGTATGTTTTTATATGAATGGAAAGTCCTTGTACATAACTAGAAGCATATCAGCTTACATTGCTTTTTCACATTTTTAAAAATAGTACTCTGGAGGAATAAAAATAATTGTGATATGTCTGTACTACGTGCCCAAAGGTTCTCCACATGTTTTTTTTTCTTTTATATCCCCAAAGTTTTACACTATTCTTGTTTTTCAAAATTACTTGTTTGTCTTGCCATTTAATTCTGAAAGGGCTCTTTATGAAGTAGGAAAATAAAAGCTCTTCCTCTCTCTCCTCTGTGTCAAACTAGAGAGGACACTGAATACACAGGTATTTGAAAAGGCTATTTAATACTGCCTCTTTTATTAGAAAGGAAACCCAGTGGTGAGAAGAGGTAATCAAATAATAATTAGCAATTGTTCCTCCTTTTCTCTGTCCCACAGCTGATGCTGAAAGAAAACAAGAAAGCAGGAAGTCTCCAGCTCCTCCCCTCATCATAATACTTTGTTAGTGAAAATGAAAAAGAAGTGTAGAAACAAGAGGGGGCATTGCCAGCTTTTATTTATTCTTTCTTCCTTGGCCTCTGTGGGTAGTGCAGGGAGAAAATATTTCGTTCAGGAATCTGCTTAGTGAGAAAAGGACAAAAATCTCTGGCAACCATCACCCTCGGAGCTAAGCAGCAGGGAGGCTTTTGAATATATTAGAAATGTGCGTTATACCGAGTCAGAGTATTGGTCCAATTAATTCCCATACTAAACACATCAACTGAGAACAATTTTTAGTGGTTTAGAGGAGTGCTTTTCATCTTACCTGAACAAAAATGTTCCAATATAGTCAATATAGTCAATTACTGAACTAGTATCCCCTCCCCACCACATCCAACTTAGTATAATTGAGCATTGCAGCCTAAGTTGCTTGTCTCCCATGATGCTCCCACGTGTTTCTTCAACAATATCAAATTCCAAACCAGTATCAGAAAATGTAGCAAGCTGGCAGTGGGTCAAGCTGCTTCTCAGCTAAGACTAAACTCATTGCAAGACTGTCATGGTTCTTCACCTGCTATTTGCCCTTCCCATTCATGCACACTGGTTGGTGTGGACCAGTCATCAATACCTGCCTTTTCCTTTTAGACTTATTTCCGTCTAAATAGCCCCTCTTTCTTTTGATTCCCCAGAAATTTGTTCAAACAAAAATGACTTTACTTCTCCTTCACAATTCTCTTCTCTGACATTAACACAGATGCTTCCTTTTTTCTTCTTCTTACTCCTCTGAGGATACAGTTGAGTTAGTCCTTGCTTATGACCATAACTGGGACCAGGAACTCCCTTGCCAAGCAATGTGGTCATTATGTGAGATATTATATGACTGTGACTTGTGATTTTACTGCTGGCTTCACCAATGACTCTGCTTGTAATCATAAATGCTCACCAGATGTGAAGCACTCAAACTAGATCACAGGACCATGGGAATGCTACATTTATAGAGTTCAGAAAGTTACTTTTTCAGTACCATAATTTTGAATAGTCACTTAACAGAGCAGTCATTAAGCGAGGGCTTCTTGTAATCAAAGCAATAGAGAAGTTAGTTTTCATTCATTCCTATTTTTCTCAGCAAGTTAACAGAAACTCTGTAGCAGGACTCAGAACTCACAGTTCAGCTTCACAACATCAAAGCAGCTCACTCCTTGGTTGCAACTTAAACGGGGGATGAAGAGGGAAAAAGAAAATAAATAAATACAATAACAAAAAAGGAAACTGTAGTTCTGTAGGCTGCGATGGGAAAGCTAGGAATATGTTTTATCCACATGGGAACAAA